GCATGAACAGAATCGGCAGCCCAGCTGTGTCATATGCTTTTTTATGCTCGCTATTGATTTGGTGTGTATACCCTATCACCTAGTATTCTGAGCTCTATTTCGACACTGAAGAATGCTCATATTGTGATAGCAGTGCCACTTATTCGAACCCAGACCTATTGAAACATGAGTGCAGTATCTGCTGCTGCTGTTGTCCACAGGAGAAAGAAGAAGAACTTTACCCCGCTTCAGTATGAAGACCCATCAGGGGAGTTGATGATGCTGCCAGCAGACATGGTGAGTGCACTTGTGTCTTGACACATCCTGCAGATTTTCCATCTTCGCAGTATGGTAAGGCCATGTTGAGTCCCACAATTGTGATGTGAAGGATTGCCTGCAAGAGTTTGCTGCAGAATTGGAAGTTGAGAGACGGAATCTTTGATCAAAAGGTTGATCTTGTGGTCGCCTGTCCATGTAGCTGCTCTGCCATGAAGAAAAACTGAGTAGCTTGATAACAGTTGACCTTCCAAGCTGTTAATCATCCAATGCTGCAGTGCTTTTTGCACCAGTCAATTGATTTCTGAGAGTGCTGTGTCGTGCATGTTGTCTAATGTATTTGTTGTCGCAGGCACTGTTGTGGGACAAAGGATTCAGGAAATATGTGGACCTCTATGCCAAGGATGAGGAGAAATTTTTTGAGGTTAGGAGCCCTTTGTGTTTTGCCTTTACCTACCAGCATCATGGCAACTGGCTGCTGAAAGTGCGAATAACACCACCAGAGCACATGCAGCTAGCTGGTGGATGGGCGATGGGTGTCTAGCCTGATCCCGTGTCCATGCTGCACAGGCCAGCGCACATGTGCATGCTCGTGCAAGGCACAGGCCCCCTGAACATGCATCCTACTTTGGCTCCCAAGCGCATCAGCAGGTTTCTTTTAGCTCACACCCATCTTGACCGCGTCTCGATGCTGGAGCAAGAGTGGGCGTGGCTGGCTGTATTAATCATATTTGGTGACCGTAATTGCCACATTTCAGTTAAATGGGCCCGTCATATTGATAATGTTCACTTCTGAATGCAGGACTTCGCAGCCGCCTTCAGCAAACTGCTGGAATTGGGTGTCAAGTTCCCAGAATACCAGAAAGCGTAACAAGCCCAACTCACCCCATGTTGGCTTCTGGAGCGTCGTTCTTGTCTGAAGCTCATGAGCATGTAGTATCCATTGTGGCGTATGATTATCTTCTGCGATGCTGCACGCAGATGGAAAGCATGCCTGTTCTAAACTGTTCGATGGATGACGGCTATTGTAACGCTTTTGGGCGTGGTGCGTGTGTTCGGATGCTCAAAGTTTGTGCGCTGTCCTGTGCGTCAAGGCCATGCAGTGGACTTGGTCCGTTGACGACGCAACTTGGCTGTCTGTTGCAAGTGTGTGTTGGTTTCAGGCGGCGGACGCCCATCAGCTGTTGTGCTGGGTTGACGCCAGATGCGCTTCATTGATCGCAAGGTTCAAAGGCGCAGCACAGATAGAAAAGTGGGATGTCAGAAGTTGCCAGCACGGATTGTGGCAGCTGCTATCGATATCAGAGCACAGACGAAATCGCATCGGAGCGGTTTGGAGATTATGCGGGACCACCCTGCATGGCGCAATCGTTACGGAACCGTCGATGCGAAGTGTCACCCTTCTTTCATCAGAATCTTTACAACACTGCCGGCCACATATGGCGTTGGCTTAATCTACAGCATGCCTCTCAATCACTAGCAACGTGGCTGGATCACTACCCACCACGCAAAAAGTTTGCAGCCCCGTTGTTACCTCGACAAAACAACAAAGTGCTGGACACAGCGAGGTGGGCAACCGCCATAGACTGCCTTCAACGGCCTTGACGTCCTTCCTGGGGCTCTTGCAGCGGGTGCGAGACATGTGGGCCATCCAATTGTTCATTTTTGAGAATTGGGCTTGTAGAGTCGAGTCGCCAGCTTCAAAGTAGTCCCAGCGGAGGAAAAGCAAGAGTTGGCCAGATAGGGGGTATATTTGCCAGAACACAGGAGCCTGAAATCCGAGATTCTCAAGTCAGAGGTCATGCACTCCACTGCTCTTTTGGCCCTGTCACGTGTGCAGGGAGTCCTTGCGCGGACCTGCGGTTCGAGTGTCTTGTTAGTTGCTCCCATTTTGCCCCTCACTCCATCAGAGGCACTCTGTTTGTTCGATGGCTGAGACCCGTGGAAGCTGTTTGGGCCCGAGGACGACCGATTGTGGCGGACAGGCAGGTTCCCACCAATCGGCTGATACCTGACATCTGCACCCGTTGACAAGCTTCGCATCTTGACCTCGTCGGCAGCCTCTCTCTCACAATCTCGACGACACGCTGGCCCCAAGAGACAACTTTTCCCAGTGCGAAGCTTACCCCTCGCGGATTTGACGCGCCTGGGCTTGGTCTCCGCCAACAGGTGAACTTCGGCGGGGTACATCGTGGACCTCAAGACTCGGCAGTTCTTGGGCGTAGCATCACCGCGTTTCACGTCCGTTGCCATGGCAGGGCACGCCAGGATGCCATCAGCATTGGTGTCGCTGGTTTGGGCGCCACTGCGGGCTAGCGTAAGGTCCACCTCCCCGCTACGTAGAAACAACAGAGAATTGTCCATGCTGGTGGTCGTTAAGGTACTATAAGAGAAATTATCAAGGATCCCATAGAACATCCCATAAACCCCACAAGAGATGTAATGGAAGCAGACCTGGCATTGTGGGAAATACCGTTCATGAATACACAATTTGTCTACACTTGTAAAAGTCCCTGGCGCAGGATATATGGCACACTGCCCACAACACTTACCGTTCACTGAATTTCTCCGCCGGACTGGCTATGGATGCGGTTTGCAGGGGAAACGACTTTCGAAGCCGGAGTTTGGGCCAGCTGGGGCGGAAGGTGTGTAGACCGCGGTCATGTGGTGGCCTCCTAGGAGAGCAACTCTTTTCTCGGGCGGCAGTTTGCGTGTTGCCCAAGAGGTGGCATGGCTCTTGTGCCTGAGCCTGCTCACTGAGGACCTGCAGCAGGAACACGTGAAATCCTGCTGCCAATCCTAGCAAGCAGTAGATGCTGTCAACTGATTCACAGAGCGCGTTTCCTCATTGTGGCACATGCTCCAACATGCCCCGCATCAGTGTGCATACGAGACCTCAACTCACAACACACCGTATCAAAGGTCAAGTCTTGTGGCTGTTGCAACCTTGTAGTTACAGCAACCACACACCAGTAAGCTCGCATACGAGGCAGCTTCCTTGTATTACGCCACTAGACTGCCGTGCTGGACAGCGAGAATTCTGTGTAACATATGATGCCTCCCGTACGTGGAGATCTGGATGGTGCCGCCGAACACATGCACAGCGAAAATCAACTATGATTGGGCGGCGAACGCAGCTGCAGCTCGCTGCTCCGTGAGTAGCACGGGTAAAAACTGTCCAAAGTATACGGTCCTGAAGACCGTGTACAGTGTTGTGCGTTTAAAAATGGTGTAAAATTTGTGTAAGCATCGTGTACCCATCGTTTATTGATACCAAAATAGATGGCTGCCGCTGGTACACGGTTGAAATCGTGTAAAATCGTGTTATTTATCGCGTCGTTCATGGCGGTAAGGTGGACCATTTTCGTGTACTACACAGGGCCGAAAACTACACGATTTTAACAATCGTGTAAAATCGTGCTCCGAGTACCCGATTTCTACACGATTTTAACACGATTTCACACGATTGCACACCGTGTGAAATGGTCTAATTTTTACCGGTGTAGCTGAGGATTGGTGCGCCCCTACGGCACGAGATCGCTCACATGCACGGCCTCCGCCATGTGTACCACGCGTTGGCGCCTTCGGCAATATGCGCAGAAGCACCCATCGGTGGGGAACAGCTCCTCCACAACTTCAAGGACTTGTCCAAACAGCTCCTTTTTGGATTCTGGCGGAGGAAACAGCAGCTCGAACCTCCCACTTGGGCCGTCACTGTCTTCGACATATCCATCGTCAAGCTGACATGGCGGCGTCCATGGAGCCTGTTCGCCGACATCTTTCTGAACTTGATCAGACTCGCGGCACCAGAGAAGAGCGTCGTCCAAGGCGGCCTCCGCGGTGCGCAAGGCCCTACCCTTTGCCAGGGCCGTGAGGGGCCTGGCTGGCTTTGTGGTGGACCTGCGATTCACCCACCCGAGTGTTGAAACAACTGGATTCTCAGGTAGCTGCGGGAGCCAGCACTGGCTGCCATTTGTGCGCAGGTGTGCTCCTGGCAATGATGCACGCAGGGCTGACGAATGCTACTTGTGGGTGGGCGTGTTCAGTGGAAATCATGAAATGGGAAGGAATCGAATAGAGGATGAGCATTTTTCCTGAGTTTCAGGGACCAGCTTGATCTAGCTGGTGGAAAATGTGCACTGCCAATTGACGGCAGGAGGATCTGTGATGCCAGCGCGTGCACCAATGGCACGAAAAGATAGCCTGCGTTTGCTGCTCACGCTGCAAGCTGAGCATTTCGGAACAAATTGTGCAAATTATCCACCCATGATTCAGCACATGCCACCTTTGGGGATTATGTGCGGATGCGGATGTGACATGTGTATGCCCAGCGTCGAAATGTGTGAAATCTATTGTTTTGTGCCATTGCTAATCTCTCTTGCTCATGCTGCGCAACACCACACACTGCATGCCTGCAGCTCCTCGCCGCAGCCTGTCAGGGCCGTCTGTCTAGCGAACCCCACGGGGAGGCTGGAAGGTGACCCGCATTGGGGTGGTGTAGGCACACACGGCGGAGCCGCTTGGCCGTAAGCCACTACTGCTCACTTTGCCGTCCGGTTGTACAGACGCTCCTTCAGGGCCTGGCGTTCCTGATCGTAGTACTTTTTCCTCGTGGCCGCCGACAGCGACAGAGACCTGAGGGCATCTTCAAGCACGGCGTCCTTGACGCTCACGTCGACGGGACAGTCGCAGCTGAAGCTGGGCGAGTGGTTGACCTCCAGCAGCCATGGCCTGAATTTGCTGTCGAGCAGAACGTCAAAGCCAAGGAGTTCGAAACACAGGCAGGAAGAGTCGCTGCACTGAGGACCAAGCGCCTGGATGGAATTTCGCAAGGTGTTAATGCACTGGCGATCGCACATGGGCATTCTTGTGTGCTCAATTGGTGTCTTGTCCCCGGCAGGACTCTGTTTACATCTTAGGAATGGACAGAGCACTTTATGTGGATTCCTGTTAGATATAACCTCAAAGTGTGCTTGCATTCCTTGCGGACCGGTGCAATGCGGAGAAGCCAGTGGATGTCGAAAGGCCTGTTTAAGCAAGGAAAATTAGGGCAGGTCTTGAATACGCCGCACGGACTACTTGCAAGTATACTGCTTCCATGTGAAGTCGCCATTGTGCGCTGTACAAACTATCCAACCAATCGGGGAGTGTGGATGATCTGGCGAGACAATGGCGCAATAGCACATTAATGCAGTCCGGTTCAACATTACTCAAGTGGAAATGCGCCAATGGCGGCGAACATGGAGTAAACGTCTTCCGCGTCTCGGCACCATACTAGCGATGCTGTAGCAAAGCAGCTTGGGTGGCAGCTGTGATCTAAACTTCATGAAGTTTACGTTTGATGGGTTTGCCAAATTCGAAATTGATTAAATTATTAAGAATGTTTGGCAGTTCACCAAGCCATGTAATTCAGCGTGACATTGGAGGAGCTCAATTGTGCTAAACACTGAAAGCAAAATGCTCCATGGCGGCTGAAAAGATTTTTCTGCATGTACGAGGTCATTCCAGCGATTTCTTGTTTGCTTTTCAAGAAACTCAGGGACATATCTTTCAGTATGTGTGACCGCATGAAAATACAAGTCGATTCCACTATACTGATATTAGAGTGTAGCTACACTCTGTATCGTACATAGCCATACGCACGAGCTCACAAAAGACTGCGAATCACGTCACGTGACGTCATATATCCATGGCTATCTTGTTCTCAATGGGGTATACTACCTCCGTCTCGAAAACATTGTCGCTTCCGTAATCTTACTGTAACTTTGCAGGATCAACTCAATTGTTCAATCTGCCACCAGATTCAGATTCTTTGGTCGACTTTTGGTTGATGTCGATCTTGGTTATATTATTAATCGCCATCCAGCAAGAAATGCCCAGCCCCATCAAAAAGCATTCCTGTACATCTCCGTCAGAACCTCAATTCCCCGCAGTATTGTGCTCACATTATTCCCATGTGTGGCAGCCTATTTCACGATGTTATACAAGAAACTTGCAGTGAGCACTAGTGCTATAGTAGTATTACTATACCTTCAAAAGTTCTGGCATCATTGCAATCATAGTATTTGTAGACCACCTCTTCCCCTATACTGAATCTTGTCTTTGAAATTCTCAATTTCAACGACTGGCCATATATGTTGTCACTAATCTAGGCCGTTTTGTAGTGAGCTTCATCATGCACGGACTTCCTAAGCTTGGTCTATCAGCTAGGTCAAGATCTTGCACTAATCTAGGTGTCTCTTGGTCTTTGGCCACAACATAACCACAATTTTGCTCACGCCCAAAATGTCTGCAACAAAACACATTGTATGCTTTGCAGACTTGGCTGTGAATTTGCTGAATCTTCAGCGTATACCAAACCACCAGGTCAGTCATCCTTCCCAGAGACATCCCAGCGCGATACACCTCCTTTGAAGGGCAAGACGAGGTCTCCACGCTTCACCCCAAGTCCCGGCAAATGCGAATTCGCATTGCAGCTCCTCCTCACGTGTCTCAAGAACGGCGGCGCCGTTTGCTACGTTTGAACGTTCTATAGATAGCTCCCAATATGAAGCGTCCAAGTTTTTGGGTCAAATTTTCTGAGCCGCACGTTTTGACCTTCGTTTGCTGGAATTAGGGAAGCAACGATGCTTTTGCGACAGAGGCAGTATCCATGTATCTTTCTTGACGCCATGAATATATGATTAACTCAAATTAACTCAAAACAGCTTGTATGATTTGTGAATCAGGGCAGGCTAAAAAAAAGCTAGGCTCTCGCGCGGCCTTCATGCTTGCACCAAGTCGTGTTTACAATAGGATAATCTACGAGCGACGGACGGACGGACAGAAATTCATGATACAAAATATATTAGAATTAATGTTACTGGGGAGGTACAAATTTCCATTCCCGATAGATCAAGTTGAACATGGCAACAGTCATCGTTTTCGTACCCCATTGTAGTATTGCATCAATTTCCACACGACTACTGACAAACATGTACCCAAAAGTATCTCTGAATATAGCTCTTATACACAAGACTGACCAGAACAAGGCGTATTGGAAACAATGAGCGCGGCACCAAATATGGCATCACTGATGCCTCGTGCAGTTTGCTTTACGGCCAGCTCAATTCGCGTCAGTACATTGCACCACTTTCCGCTATTATTTGCTATTATTGTTGAGTGCTTCAAAATCTAAGGCGTGCATGCTGCGATACATATCATCCCCAACGATTCATGCTCGGAGAGTGTTGGACAATACTTCGGAAGCCTTCGTTATATTAATTAAGGTCAAAACGTCGAATGTGTTGTCACAGTGCAACTCTGAGTCTCACCGACTGGTACGTATGGGCAAGAAGAGGTTGAACGGAGAGTATTGTGAGAACAATCATGTCCGTAATCTTCTCCCATATCTCTTTTCTGGGTGCTCCTTGCTCTTCCAGACCGTCTAGAACGGCGCTCAAAAGTCGCTTCGTCCCCTTCAAGAAAATAGCACACACAGATATGTCCGCAAGTGGGTACAATTACGATCCAATGAGGAACAGTCAACACTTTATAAGGCTCTTGTTGAGTTTTCTTGTCAATGTGCAAGCCATAATGCTGAATGATTGCAGAATGTTTCCTGCGTGAACCATCCTAATATGGGATTAGGCGGTTTTCTCCCCGTTGGCGCATGAGCAAAATATGTTGTTTCAGGATTTTCCAAAACGCTCCATGCCACACTTTTTGACGACCCTCATTTTGTTACAAATTATAACTTACAGCACATTAAGCTCGCGTTACCCATCCAGTTTCTATGCGTGTAACGCATCCCCCGAAAAGCTCGCGTGCATCAAATTTTGCGCTGCAACGCTGCCACAGAGGCATTGGCTTTCAAAAGCACCTTCTCGTTCACAACCTTTGGCTCATGGGGGTACACCAAGATGCGGGCAATCGATGGCAACGACCGTGAACGGCAGGTTGCCCCGTCCCCCCCTAACCCCGCCCTACCCTACCCCACCCTACCCTCCGCGGCTTCTGCTATTGAGTAAAGAAACCCCATTTTGCGGTAGCCTTTGTGGACGCCAGCAGGCCGCACGCTTGCCAAGCATCCAAGATCTTGAAGTATTTTCTCTTACTATCTTTTTGCTTTTGGTGGGGTGGGGGAATGTGAAAACTACTGCGACGAGAAAATTCTATGTGCACAACATGTCGTGGGAAATAGTTTTGAGCCGAGAAAGTGTGAAACACTTTATGTTCCCTTAATCTATTAGGAGCTTGCGGAGCCGAAAAGCGCTTGCCAATCACTAATGCATCGTAAAATATGTGGGAACACATCCCAAGACATAAATGCATCGCCGAATTGGTTTCATTCTAAATAGTATCTCAGCCACGATATGGTCATAGAGGTCATGTCGTTTATGGCGATCAGGGAAGGGACACAACCACTACCAGAATAGTCTGCACTGCCACGTGTGTAATGGTCAACGTGGCGCACTTTTGTGAGCGGCAATACAGCATTTCGTACCGGATGCTACCTTATCCGGCGCCTCATCATCGTTAAAATCCTCGGCTTGTTTGTTGATTGCGTAGTTGGTGAGATGCATATTTCGAATTTTCATGTTCTTTTTCGATGCCGGTTCGTATTTCACTGTAGCCAGTCTGGCTATTCCTTCCTTGAAAACTGATATCTGCAAAATCAATTGAACGTGGTGAAACGCCACAGCTCAGTCATTCGCCAGCTTGGGCACAACATATTTGAAAGATACAGCGGAAATGACTTTCCGTTTGAGACAGTAGATGCGAACATGCAGAAGGACATATGCTGAATTTTGGAAGTGAAAATTTCTTTCCGCTTTATGCTAGACGTGCTTCGATGGAGATTTGTTGATTATGCTTTTTCAGGCAATTATTTTCCCGCAGGGCGTTGCATTGCCTTGTGCTCCCATGTTCTTGCAATGGTCTTGAACATGCATCCGGACGATTTGCATGGAGCACTGAACCTAAAATCCACTGGTAATGGATGCGCCATCAACAAACTCACCTTCAGGGGGTCAACTGAAGATATCAGAACATATATTCTCATGTCGAATTTATACCCATCCAGCAACAGTGGCCTCTGTACATACATTTGCGCAACGGAGGTGGTGATCTCGGATAAATCCACATCTTTTTCAGTTTGGGACAGGAAGATTCCCTTGCCCATAGCCCCTGAGCTGGGCTTTACAATGAAGGTCTCCATTTTGTTTTTCCCCTGTGTCACATCACGAGAGCAATTTAGAATAAGCACCCAACACAAGGTGTTGCATGGTGTGTGACCTTGTAAATCCTGTTGTTTCCAATGGGCACACGTAAGCATTCAGTATGCCACCAACTATGTTTACAGATGCGAAAGCAAAAACGCAATGATTACAACGCAGCTTTAACAATCGGGGTGGGGATTGTGATAGAGAGGGAGCAAATCAAGTTCTAATCCATGCCAGAAAATGCTGATAGCCGTGAATTCTTTGCAATGTCACTGTCACTGTATTAAAGTAATTTCATGTACGAACATATGGCATCGCAATCGTCCACAGTTGTGCGGGGTTAACGCCGTAATCTCTATGGTTTTTCTGTCAATCTCTGGATTAGCCGCTCTGAAAGTACAGCCCAGTACTCGGAGCAACGCTCTTGTGTGCAACTACGTCTGACTGTGGCAGGGGAATAACCGTCTCTGTCCCAGCGACTCACTTTCAGCCTGTTCTTCCTAAGAGCCATCAGAAATGCTTCAAGTTCATTGGGTATGAAGAATGATCGCGGGTGAAAAGAGTAGTAGTTGGGCAAACGGGAAGCCATGCGTTTTATGTGCTTGCTCAGGCCTCCTTTTCGACAGATCTCCAGCATTCCTGGAAAGTGGTTCATCCTCTGAAATGGCTTCATGCGGTTCACCCTCTCCGGAGACACCTGCAATTACGCAAAACAGATAACGAGAGTAATCTGAGATTGTCCTTATCGTTCGCGTGCTCGCTCCAAGCAAGCAGCAGGCCATGTGCAGATACATGCGCGGGAATTAGCACATATTTCAAAAAACAGCACGCCCCAAATACAATATTATGAATCAGTCGTTTCAATGAAAGAGCAACTGCAATTGCAGGTAGCTCTCATCCTGCTTTTCCTCCATCCCTTTCCGCCGCACGTACCGAGAGGTCGCTCCAGAACAAGTCCCAATCTTCATCCTGCAGACACTGCATGTACCCATGTTAAAGCCACAATAGGTCAAACACGCCTGCTGACAATCATCGGTGATTAGGCCTGTTTAAAGACCAACGCACAAGGCGCTGCTCAACCAAGAGCATTACGAAGTTCAGCAGCGCAGAGATATAAACATTGAACTGAACATTCTGACTACAAATTTTGTTGTCTTTGGACGTAGAATGGCAACATCGAAAGCCGGTGAATGCCAAACTGGACTGGGAACACGTAAGTACATGCAAATTGCCCTGTGCGGTATCCACCCTTCTTTGCAAGCTCCCACTGACGCTGTCGTACCTCATCCTCCACGACGATGCAGTCCAGCTTCCGAGCAACTTTGCGCAGCACCTCGTACTTGCAAAATGCCAGATTGATACGCACAGAGTCCCTTTCGCGGCATCGAGCATGCAAACAGCATCAGATTTTAGTGTTTCCAATGTCTTCCCTTCTGCTGCAATTTGGGTTCACAACGTGCAGAGAATTCCCCTAACCAAATGACACGAATAAATATGTATTGATTCTCTTCGTGGGGAAATGTCAAGCGACACTAGTACATATGCCTACCGAAACGCATAGTATCGGATCCCTGCGCCAAGTTAGACTATTTGTAGCATTTTAAATGGGAGCTCCTTTTGGTTTGCTGCCCCTTTTTCCAATGGGTGTTCACGGCTCGAGTGATTGGAGCCTGCTCGCGAAAACATATTCATGTTTGATTGCGCGCACAGCCTGACTGTATTCATGCTTAATGCCCTTCAACCCTGTAAATTAAGATCTCCTACGCCAAGAACTGACGAATAAAGGGGGTTAGATACTTTGGAAAACAGGCTGCCAACACCAAGTAAAGTGCTGTGTTTACTGACGGGCTGCGAATGCGCGTCAAAGCACTGGCTTTGGTTGCAGATAGTAGAACGGACTGGAAATGCATGTGAAGATGCCAAACCATATGTTTCTTCCGTTGTGTTGATAACTGCTCATCGAAGACCAAGAACATTATAGCACTCTTTCGATGCGCTGAAGCGTCGAATGGCGATTCAGATGAAAGCGTAACAAGCATGTTCATGCGCTTCCATTCTCCTGTGGGCTCCAATGTCGGCATTTTTACAGCTCTTTGTTCGAATCTGCAAGGTTGCAATTCAATTGGAAAGTCTCCTCTGCCATTGTTTTTTTTGTCATCCGAAAATTTGTTAGGCGCTGATGCAATATTGCCAGGCCCTTGCATGAATGCCGCTGTACAGACACGAGCTCAGAAAGTTGGCGTTAGTCCAAGGGCCTAACAATATTGCATCAAAGCATAACAAAGATCCGAATGCATTTCAGAGCTTACAAAGGTGATCGTTGATGCAGCACTGCCGCGACACTGCTTGTTTGGGAATGTTGCATCAAGATGCCTTCCTGGAGGGTTGATAATACCGACGTCACAGAGCCACTGCTTCAGGTGCATGATCATTATTTCCATGAACCCCTTGCATCAACCCCCATCATCACTGCATCAACGCCTACCGAACTACGGATGGTGTGCTTGTTCGATGTTTCGACTGACGGAACAAATGCATTGTTGTTGGTGCGTTTTCACCTCCGGTGCTGTACACTAAGCAAACAAATCCCAGTCGTCAACACCCCGTGCTGGATCAACCGAGAAATAATGCCCATTTCGCATGCATGCACCTCGTTTCCCGACCCCGACATCCACAGGAGAATAATTGTCGTCGCGATGCAGACAAAATGCATCTCCCGATTGATCGGCTTGCGCCCTCCTTCAGGGGATGGTGTTCAGCGAGCAACTATGCTTTGCAGTCTTCAGCCGTGGTCGCAATGGCAGCACTGAACCGCAGGAGAAAGGCACAATGCAGCGCACCTTTTCCTCCGCCGCCCCGTCCCCCTTTTTGCAGCCATCCCGCCGGGCTCTCCACCTCTTCACGTCATTCGCGCGTGCTCGTGCGCCACGCCAGAGGCGGAGGGATGGCGGCCAGGTGATAGTAGTTGACGGGTGCCGGGCGGCACGGCGGACAACAGGAACACAGTGCTGGACCTGAAGCGCGTCGGGCGGCGCTTCCTCATGCCAGGAACAGTGGGACCCGGGCTGCTGCAAAGGTGGTGCACGCGGGGAGCCCAGGATGGACGGAGGGTGGTTGGTAGGTAGCGGGAAACTGGGGGTCAACGCAGAAGTTCATTGACCCAATAATCTGCACAGCACCCTGCTGATATGGGCTGGCTACCTGCCTGCCTTGAGATACTACAACTAGTGTAAAATTTCATGATGATGATATGGGCTGAATAGATCCAATCCCTGTATCAAGTCTAATTAACGAATCTGTCCGCATAGCGATTCCAGGCTTCAATGCGCCCCTCAGCAATTGTTTGGGGAAAAACACGGGTTCGCTGGGTGACCCCGTCAGCTGCCGACGCCTTCCAGAGCACATGCACCGCCAAAGCCTTACAACAAAAATGTCATGCGACAGGCACGGCATTCGTGTTATCAAACATCATGGCCCAGATGGGCACGTGGCCACCACGAGTTGGCATTCCCCCTTCCATTTTGCTCGCCCTGTGCCTGCACTCACAGTTTCCCATCTATGCCACCCATTCCAAACATTAACCCTGCATCAGCAACCAAGCAAAATTATTGACGGTCGCAGCGTCACAGGGTGACAAGACCGCCCAGCAGCCCCAATCAGCCATCAGTTGGGAACGAACCTGGACAGCCTGCGACCTCCGTCCAATCACTTACACACTCAAAATTCGCACCTGAGGCGTGGATAATAACGGGCTGTATCGAGTCGATCAGCAAGGGGACTGTGATAGGCACAGCCCGTTGCTGCCATTTACCAATGGTGAGCACCTCTTCTGCACCTTGAGGGACGAAGCTCAGTCATCCCAGCATGGCCATACAATACACACATTGGCAATAATTGTGTCAACAGCATCCCTCCGCTCAGTCAATTCAGGACACGCACATACAGCTCAGGAAACTGTCCCCGCAGCTCGTTCGTTCCATTGGGGGATTCCCAGACATGGAATGTGACCCTCACACCAGAAGCCACCACCGAATCCATGCAGTCCTCGCAGCAGCTCGACTCAGAGCCCTTTATCAGTGCACTGAGCATGTAGAACTTTCCAGGAAGTAGCTTGGCCGGTCCATCAAAAAACATTCTCAGCAAGGAGCCGTCAGCCTTTGTAAAAGACTGTGCGACATCGGTGATGCTGGTGACCTCTGCGCTGAAGTCGTCATGAGCAACTTCCAGGAGCTCCAGCTCAACGGTAAAACCTCCCTCCGTGCCACACAGCCCTGCCCCCAGAAGCTGGCACTCTCTGTCCACTGAAAACACAATCTCGTCTTGTCCATCTTCATACATCCAGCTGTCCGTTGTGTTAAGCTGAGCAGCGCGCACTACGCGCGTCATGGCGTATGGATACCTGCACAACAATGGCGTGTCAATGCTCAAAAGCAGGAGCACTAGACACCAGGGTCGCATCTGGAAGTGGGCTGCCAAAAAGGATTCACAAGCAGGAATATGACAAAATTATTCAATTTTGACTCAAGACACACACACACACACACACACACACACACACGGATTCGCTGCATAACTCAGCTTTCATACGGGCAACAAGCCCAAAGTCGTGCACTCAACAATGGCATGCAGAAACTTGGGCATTTCCCACTTTTGTGCATGTCCAAGCACGGTATTTACAGATGATCGGCTTCCACCTGCACAGCAACGTATGTGGCTGCAAACAGCCCAATAGCAGACTGCGCACCCACCTGTCAATCTTCGCAACCAAGCCACAAAGCCCATAGTACTCTGCCTCTGACTTGAGCTCCAGGAGATATTTGAAGTCAACAGTCTCCTTTGGGCACAAGAACGAACCGTCGCGCAAATAGTTTAAAATGTCATGAAAATGCCTTCCATCCCTGTCAATGAAGTAGCATCCGTTCTTGTCGGGCTTGAGATCATGTCTTCCACTGAACATGGCATTGAAGAGAGATGGCGATGGGGCGTTTCGGAGGGTTGTCAACGTTGTTGTGAATTGCTTGCCACCCACATTGAGTCTCACTTGTTCAGACTCATTCATGACCTTGTGGATTCGTTTCGACTCCTCAGCGAACCGCAGTCTGTCCTGCTCGAGCTTTTCCCTCCCCCTGTTGATATCTTCAATCTCCTGCTCCAGAGCTGCCCTGAGGTCCTCCATTTTCACATCCAAGTCACTCATCCCTCCTTTCACCTTGTCCATTGCATCCTCTACCCTGGTGCTTGTGCAGCTCATGGCGTATGTTCTTCTGGTCCCAGCTCTAAACCTCAAAGAGCGAGATCAAGGCCTTTTTGCGCAGCCTGCACCACACGCCAGCTTGGGGTGGGACTTCTACTTTACTGTTAGTGTTGGGCCAGCCCTGCAAAACACGAAGGAGAGGGTGGATTCCACTGACCCCGATAGTCCTGCAATTAGCAACGTGGAGGTTACGCAGACGGGATACACTGATTCGGCAAGCGGAAGCGACAGCTTTCAACACTGCCGTACATGGGCAGCGGATCACGCAATCAGGTCCAGACGGCGAGAAGTGCCCAGCCAACTTGCGCTATTGCACGAGACACAAGCTGCGACGCCTTTGCGGCAACGTGCCTCACCAGCCACCCAACGGCCCCTCCAGCGCAGATCGTTCGGCGCTGATGCGGGAACCCTCGGACTCAGGGCTGGGGGCGTGGTGAAAACCAGCGCAATCCAATTCCCGTGACGCCTACACGACGTTTTCCACATACGGGCACTCGGCATGGGGCACGGTCCCACGCCCGCCCTCAAAAGCGCGGTGAGAGCCCAATTCAGTGCACACGACAAACGAGCGCGCGACCGACGCCCAGTGTCCCCAGAACTCATTCAAAGCGTTTGACGTTTGGCAGAGACAGGCATCCCATCCACGATCCGAAGTTCAAGACACGGCGTGGCCAAGCATCCAAGGGCGTCGCCAACTTGGATCGCGGGCGCCCTACGGTTGCGGGACCAAGGGACTGGGGAAGTTGTACTTGCCTGGAGTGCAATGCAGCGGCGTCGCGCACTGCCAGCCAGCGCAAAGGGCCCACGGGGCGAGGTCGGGGCACCAGCAGCCCCGCGGCGTTGATAGGAGGCGCCTGTCGGATCGCCGCGGCAGCCCAACGCCTTCGGGGCGGGATCCCGATCCGCCCTCTCGATAGGGCGGCACAACCAGAGGCCGGCACCGTCAAGCGCACCCTCCAGCGCCCAGCGGTAGGGAGTGCCCAATACCACATTTAAAGCGCATTTAGGTCCCATTTTGTGCGCTATCCCAATCTTGGAGGTCTTCAAGCGGTACCTTGCGAGGGCTCAAGCGCCCAACTCTAGCATGGGGGAGACGTCGCCAAGGCAGGGAAGGAGGTGCGCGTCGGCTTGGCTCTCATTCTCTGGGCCACGCGTGCAGCGTCTCCATGATTGCGCGTTTCACGCCGAACCAGGCTCACACTGCCCACTGTACACGCTTTCTTGCCGTTGGCTGTTGGCCGCCCGTTCCTCTTGGGAATCGTCCCAACAGGCGAGATACCTGCGTTGTGGGGTGGAATCCTGCGCTAATTTGAGGGTCGCGTTTCCTCCGCTCTGCAGGGAGGAGATCGAAAAGAAAATCTGCACGGCGAAGCGTGCGGCGAGGAGTGAGTTGAGCATTTCGAGAAGAGAGTGGTGAGTCGCGTGACGGCTGGCGGCAACGCACCGATACTCAGTTGGCCTTGCACTGGTTTCCCGTCGCTTCCGTTGCCTGCTCAGGCCGCAGTAGTGAACGGTTTCTGTCTGCCTGAGCATCTTGGTTCTGCAGAACTTGCTGAGGGGCACCCTGCAGATTGAACAAAGCGCAAATGATCCAACACTTCGTTGGCTTGTTTGTTCGCTTGTTACCTCGCCAAGCGATGCATCAATACGGGGGCATCACCATCCCTGTGTTTCATCAACCTAACTTCAGGCTGTTGCGAGGAAGGCGGATATTCGCTAGGACGTTGCCGTTCATCTGCTGGGCTGAGAATCCTTTTGATGACAATCGACACATATGTCAAAACATCACCTTCTGGTCTTGATTGAACTGCTCACCAATCAGTTGAAGAGACATATTAAGGTGACCATGCTGTTGCTTGTGGGACTGGAAGAGATGCAGTGCATTTGCAAGAATGCCCAAGTACTGTTGTGCAAATGTATGCACATCCAGATAGCACTCATGCAGCATCATATCTTGAAGAAACACTGCTGTGACGTGACGGTCAAGGGCAAAATCCGCAAGATGAACGCTTCAGGCTCAGCTGCACTGCTCATGTCTGTGCGCAGGTGTAAAAATGGCTATGCACATTCGAACGTTCTCTCAACAGATGGTCTGCTGGATGTTGCAGAAAGAACGCGTTGTCAGGTTGGAATTCTCTACTAGGGAGGGATCTTTGGGATTTTGTTGCACAGCCTGCAACCATAGAGTCATATTCCAGGATGCCCGCTCCCAGCTTATGAGATTTCAGAACGTTGTTGCTGGACAGCTCATCTGTTTGGTATGCCTCTGTTGAAATGTGTTTGACATATTGATTTCTTAAAAGTTTGAAGCACTGTCAAAATTTTGTTTCAATGCTGCAGGCAGTGCATATCATTGCATTTTGACATTTCTTTGGCAAGTGGCTAATTGTGAAGAATGAACCAGCCTTCATCGCGCCAAAAATTGTACGCCAATTGTGGAAGAGCGCAATGGCCCATTTTCATTGCCACATGTCACGTGCAATCCTGTTTGAAAGTTGCAATACCTTCCAATCTATGCTGCTTGTCCAGAATTGTTATTGCAGTTCAGACTCACAGGTATGGGAAGACCCAGTATTATCAATGCCAGCCCAGTACCCATGTGTCATGGAGTCCATTCTCCCCCCTGGTGCACTGCATTCTAAGGGTTTTTATAACTATCCCTTAAAAGAGAATGGGCTGGGTTGTGGACATCGCAGTGGGTACTTTCAAGCACAGTTCCTGGCTGGTTTTTGCTCATATGGTAGACTGGAACTTTTGAATTTGAGCCAACTGCATTATGAAGCATGACTCGAAGAGCAGAGACACAACAGGATACAGAAAGCGATCGGCTGATTGTGTTGGAGCCTTTTGGGTTGCAGATGCCAATTTTAGTGCTGTCAAACTCTGACTGATAGATAGCACAGGAATCTATGGTGATAAAAAGGTGCCCTCCTATTCTCCTATTATATTGTGTTACGATTGGTGGCATCTTGTGAATCATTCAAAATGTTGGTGTGTGCATCTAGGATCTGAGTGTCAGTGACTTTGTTAAGTTGTATGAGCAGCCCCGCCTCCCTGTGGTTATCACAGGCCTTGCTGATGCCTGGCCAGCAAAGAATGAGTGGACAGAGCACCACCTGGAGGAGCGTTTTGGCCAGCATCGGTTCAAGGTATTGCACAGGAACTTGTAGCAGAATATCACCTGTCTGTTGCTTTTTTGCAACAGATATTTCATGGTGTTCTTGTTGTGTGATACAGTTGATATTTGCGCTCAATTGCTTTTGCTAGATTTTTCGTTGTTCTCATTCATTTGCATATCACATCGTGTGGAGCACATACTGTATTTACCCAGTATTAGCAGGCACCCCCTATTAGTATCCACCCCCCTCTTTGGGGGTCAAAACCACAGTAGCATCCATGCCCCGGTGTTAGTATCTACCCCTAAACATCAACAGAAACGAGCGAAGGCACGGTTGGTGGCAAGGGAAGTCGGTGGCTGGATTTAGATCTCGTTGCCCAGTCTGGACCAAACCGCATTCCCTGCGATTCGCACATCGACGGGGATTATCGGGTCGGGGTTGATGCTGTGGAGGGAGAATTTGGAAGGGGGCCCGTGAAAGGCCGCATGGTCGACGAGCTGCCGTTGGCGCTCTCCGCGCAGGATCGCAGGCCAGCGACCGACGCTGCGGGGCCCGATCAAAGATGCGGTCGAGAATCAAATCCGCCCTGGTTTGTGGATTGAGTTAAACTGCTCCCCGGCCAGCCTGAGCAGGTTCTGGCCTGGCGCCTGCCAAGGGCGCCCCAAGGCCCAGTGCCAGGAATGGGCAGGCGATGGCGCTAGTCGGGGCGGCTGCCATTGTGAGACCCCGCCTTGCAAAACTGTTCACAAAACGCTGCGAAGGCCGAGCCCATCCCCAATTCGCACATCGCACTGGCTACCAGGCCACAAACTCAATCGCAGATCCCATCAGCCTTCCTAGCCAACGGCCTGGGAAAACGCCGCATGTCAAGCCGATCGTCGCGCCGTGGCGCCCCAGCGAGGCGAGTCCCATGGACATGTTCATGTCGGTCCTCTTTCTTTGCGTTGTAGAGGCCAACGCGGCTCGAGCATTCCAGCGAACCCCTGTTGGCCCCAGTCGCCAGTAGCCACAGCCTGGTGCAGCCGAAAGTCAAGGCTGCCAGCTCTTGTGAGGAGGCTGACAACATTCCGCAATAGCATTGCCATATTTGCCCATTTCTGGCCATGTCACGGCCTATTTGTCAAAAATTCTCGCTGTCTACTCGCTGTCTACTCTTTGGGATCAGGGGTCCAAACCGCATTAGTATACATGTCCCACTACCAGTATCCCCCACTCATTTTGGGGGTCCCATACACGCCTGCTAATACCGGGTAAATACGGTATCTCATTTGGCAAGTTTTGATGGTAGAACTAGACTTTGTGACTAGATACTTGTGCCTTTCAAGGGCAGCAACTACATGAATTAAATAATCAAGACAAGAACAAGGTATGTTGGATAGAATATGGTGATGGCCACAACCCACCACTGCCATTTGTTCTGTTGTTCTTGCCCTTAAAGCTTGTTTTATCTTTTGAGTCAACTACTATTGAAGCACCTGGGTACAGCTATGCCATTTTAAGCTCTGTCAGAAATTCCCAGTAGGCAGTGGCAGCTTCACAGGAAAATCTAAAAAGCTCAGTGCATTCTCTAGTGAATTTTGTATGCTCTATGCCCTCATGCTGTGGAATCCTTATCCACCAAACCCCTGGTGTAACATGAAGGCGAACACCTCAAAACCCCACTTGCACCAAATACATATAGCAGATACATTGAGACTGTTTTCGGGCAGTTCACTGTGCTATAGGTGTGAAGAGGATATTGTCACACAGCGGTGGGCTTCATGGGTTCAGATTCCGGATGACTCACGGGACCATGAAATGAGTCGGCAGTACTTGCTTTGCAGGTTGGAACTGATGATGATGGCTATGCAGTTCGATTGGAGCTCTGCCACTTTCTGCACTATATGCAGAGCCCCAACCATGCCCTGGTTGATGACTCGCCACTGTACATATTTGATGCCACTTTTGGTGACAGACACAGCAGCAGGAGCATGCTCAATGACTACAAGATTCCGCCCTATTTTCGTGAGGACCTGTTCCAATTTGCTGGCAAGCACAGGAGACCACCCCATCGGTGGTTTGTGATGGGTCCAGCCCGAAGTGGCAGGTAAGAACAAGGGCAGCTGCACGTGCCCAGGAGAGAGATTCCAGGTTCCTACATTTCGCCAGAATACGGCAGGCAGTGCCCTAGCACCTGTGAGACGATGACTGACGACATTGCAGTAATTTTGTTTGTTCAAGCGTGTTCAACATCAGTAAACAACAAACTCCTCCTGTTTGCCTCAACTACAACTGAGTGATATGCTCTTACTGTGGGTCTACACCGGAGGATTGCAAGTTTTGTTCATTTTGTCAGTGGTTTGTGCTGCAGTTCTCTTCACATAGACCCTCTTGCCACCAATGCGTGGAACACACTGATCAAAGGGCGCAAGAGATGGGCTCTGTTTCCTCCAGGCACTCCAAAAAAGGCAAGGTCTTGGCGCCAAGTTTGTATTTATACAACTCTACCTGCCCGTTCATGTGTTGCTCCATGCTTCTTGTGCCAATTCACGTAGAGCCAAAGATCTTCAACCTGACAATGTGCGCATTGTGCGCACCTTCTGTGGTTCACTGTGACATGGGAAAGGCAACTGATGCTGATTTGCACAGGATTGTATTGGCTGTGCCTTCTTGGCATGTATTGATGCCAGTTTCGTTGCCTCTGTGGACAATGGCTATGGCAGATGGCTGCCGATGGCAAGGCATCTTCAAAAACTGTTTGTGCTGTGACAATGTAGGCAGTGCTTCCATCCATCCTGGGTGTGGATAGTGAGGCCGTCAGCTGGTTTTATCACGTGTATCCATACACACAGAGTGCAGACTGGCCAACAGCAAAACCCATTGACATCATCCAAGAGGCTGGTGAAACTGTTTTTGTTCCTGGGGGCTGGTGGCATGCAGTACTGAACTTGGAGACAACAATTGCAGTGACGCACAACTATGCAAGCTCTTCAAATTTTTTGAGGGTAAGGCATTGCCTTGCGGATGGGGAGCTGCTGTGATGGTGTGAGCAACAACTGTCTAAACTACTAGTGCACATTTTATTGCCTGGTCACATTGTGAAGTCGGCTTATATTGTACCAGTCCAGAAGTCGGGCCTTCGGCCCCGACGTTCTGCACTTTTTCGTTCCTATGCTATCTAATCAAAGCAACTGACTCGCTGGCCAGGCTGGGCTGCGCTGTTGCGTTGTTCATGTTTTCCATTCCCTGTCGATTTACTCATCACATTCTTCGCTATGTTCTTTGCCACTGTCACTGCGCTGAGGGCTGCACGGCACCGCCGCGTGAGTTTGCTCCCGCTATGCTGCATGGGGAGTCCTTGTCGGGGGCTGCAACTTCGACCATTGAGTTTTGGGACGTGAGCCATCGCTGCTGCAATTATCGGCCCTGGCCGCCGCAGTCACGCGGCATCGCGTCGGAAGACGAGTGTCGAGCGTAAGCGGGCACCGAGCACCGCAGCCACGATGGTGACAGCTGCGCCCCTCCCATCGACCACCCTTGAGCGTACCTCTAATAACTCCACAGAGATGCCCGCCATCCTTTCAGCTTTGGAATTCCCCACCATCGCCAGAATGCACCGCAGGATTGTTGGCCTCGCCTTTCCCAAGGAATCCCCCCTTGGATGGAGCACTTGCTGCACCCTTCCCGATCGCAACATTCCCTCTTGACCCACAACTGAACGATCTTCCCTTGTGCCACCCTTGGGCCCCTTGGCCCTGGGCAGCAAGGCGTATGATACGGCAATTACGCTCCGCGCAGCGATCCCCACCCCAATGGCTATTGCTAAGTGCCATCGCAGGGCTCAAGAGCCGCTTCGTGGCACAGCCAGACGTGAAAGGCAACTAAAATTTTGGTTTGCTGTTCTTGATGGTCGGAACTTGCACCATTGGTGCACGGCCTCGCATGCGCCCGCATGGTTGGACGAAAGGAACATGCGACGAGGTCGGTAGGGTGCTGGGTGCCATGGGAACGGCTTCAGAAAGCTGATTTTCTAAACCCCGTTGCGCTTTGGAAGCAGCGCCCGTTTTGGCGAGCCCCCTTGTCGGACTCACAACACGCCATCGCCATCACATTCAGACACACCCACGACTTTCCGAGACTGCCACGACGACGCGGGATCGCACTGGGAACGCACGCCTTGAGCGCAAACAAACACGGCGTGCTGCAGCTGCGGCACCGATAGCCGCCCGCCTCCCGTCAACCGCCCTCGAGCGCAGCCACCCCTGCTGAACCCGGGAATGCATGCCCGCAGCACCCGACTCGGAGAGTCCCGCCACTCACGTAACCCCCATGTCACAGGGGTCGATTCCTACACAAGAATGCTGAGTCAGACTTTAAAAAATTCATTTCCGGGGCGCTCTTAGCCGCGTTCCCAGCATGTAATATAAGACCCCAAGTTGGACGCACTCAATAACCAGGTTCCTAGAACCCGTCACTGCAAATCTGGGTCTTTGGCTCAATGGTTGAGCACAGATTCTTGATCAAGTGTAGTTGTTGTAATCGCGAAACTGTGCTCTCCCTTGACTTGTGGCCCAGGTGGCTTTGGTTCACTTCCTTGGACAGCCACATGTTGCGGTCCACAGGCATGAGTCAACCTCAATGCAGTTTTGGTTTTGGAGGCCGCTATCACATAACCACCCCCGAATTGGGGTCGCATTTGGGAAGCTAGGATGACAAACCCGTTGGATGATTCCAAATCTGGCCTCTGGTGCTGTGCCACTCTTGGTGTTGTGCCGCGACCCTCACAGCACGGTGCGCTCCTCCCAAGAGTCGCTTTCCGCGAACCACCCACGTTCTGCGGATCTCGCGCAAAGCTAATTCATGGCACAAGATCCTAATCACCTGGCACCCTACTTGCCAATCACCGTCTTTGGCAACAGGGCCTCACTACGCTCAGTAAGACAATCATACCAATATCATGTTTTGCTTCCCCAACATGCCTTCCCACGGTAAGCCACTAGTCAGCCACTTCAGTCCTGCCTCATTTAACCTATCTACAAGCTGTGTACGCAACAGCCGCTCTTAGGAAAGCAAAGGGAAAGCATATTGAGGCATCACCCGCAATCAACAATGTATTGCAAGGAGACGTACTTGCTGCCAGAATGCTATGTTGCAACAGGGGTGAAACATGCAATGTGCAGCACATCAATATCAACAATGCTATCTAGGCGACGCCCGTGGCCTAGTACTTGACCTTTGTCTTCAGTGAAATATCTCTATCCAACCCCAGAAGGGGAGCCTTAAGTTTTCATCTGTGAAATGTGCATAAGATGTCTGTTGTGCTGAGTCCTCTTGTTGTTATCCTAGTGATTTTACCTTGGCTGTTGCGAATCACATGGCGCGATTAAGGAAAGACGAGCCCATTGTGTGATTTTGCTTGTCCCCTGTTGCTGTGCTTTTGTATACATGTGTGTGCGCGGATATGTGCCTGAACCTGTCACAGAGCAAGCGTAGGTTGTACCATCAAGCAGCCTGCTATGCATGAATGCATGGGCCTTGATTTATTTTGCAGAGATACTAGGCTGTTGTTAGCACACATCGGAATTGCTGAACAGCAAGCAAGAGCAACGATGGACTCTCAGTTGCGCTCTTATGTGCACATCAGGTCTGGAAGCACTCTCTCAGGTCTCGTCCCAAAATGTCTGCCAAATGGCTGCTGGCTTTGCGTCAACAGAGGTCAGATCTTGCAGCCATTGCACAAGAAAATAGAGACAGAGACTGCTTGGGCGCATTTACGCACTCTTCGACCTCATCTTCCTCCTCTTGTTCCACTTCATCCTCATCCTCAACGTCAACCTCGACCTCCTCCTCCTCCACCTCCTCTTCATCCTGCTCTTCATCGACATCGTCGTCAACATCTTCAACATCGACCTCGACATCATCCGAAGGGTGCCCTAATAGGTACGAAATGCACATTTGTGGAAGGAGAGTGCTGCCATTTAGATGTGTACAGATTGTCCACTCTTCTAAACTGGAATACTGGTCCAGCAGCAGATGTAAAGATCTGCGAGGTGGTGTATCGGAAGCTGCTCAGTTTCACCCTCTCATCTTGTTGCAGATGACGTTAATCTGATGTCAGGTCCATTTCACCTACATGCCACACATAAAACGTGTGTGCACCGGCTGCTTGGCGAGCCGTGCATAGTAGCAGTATTCGTGGTTGCTGTGCCAGATGTTATAATGCACTCTCAGGCGCATTCGCACAGATGCTTCAATGCATAGTCTGTAGGTTGCAATGGGAGATTGTTGGAAGCTCTTGGCCAAGACCGCAGCAGGCAATAGAATTGCTTGTATCTGGCTCAACCATAGCTCTGTTTCCTTGCTCTTGGTTAGTGGACACACTCCGTCGTGGCATCTGTCTTCGCAATGAATGCTGCTGCCCTGTGGCAAAGCTGGTATTCTTCGCGCTCTGTAGCGTCCACTTGTTCACAAACTACTCTCACGAAATCTATCACAAAGTCAGAAATTGTTTTACCAGGGCGATTGTCACCCTTTGGTTGATTCCGACTGCCTTGGGTCAATCAATGTGTACATTGACTGACATTGACCCTGCACTGTGTTTGTTGCAGCGTTGAAGTTGCTGATGATAGCCACACTGCAAAGAGGCGGAAAACAGAAGATTCGTGTCGAGGAGATGGATAGTGCCATTTCCGTGCATCAGTAAACGCAAGCACCCTCGAATCTTCAATTGACGATCATTCTGGTATTGGTGGCTCACGTTCACTTTCGATGAGGACTGGAACGCATGCAGAGGTGTGTGGCATTGAATTGTTGAATGTTTCCACTGGTCCCATCATAGGCGTCCACAACATAGAGAGTATCTCCTTTTCTTGCCCCTACATTTTGCCGTTGTGAGGTGCGCTATTGTTTGCTCTATTTGTCCATAGCGATGGGCGCCATGGACATCGATGGGTCTTGTCTTCAAACATGTAATTCACCAAGTGGGTCGGTCAGAGTAAGTGGCTACAGAGGAGATTGAACGAATGTAATAAGTCTCTCATGAAAAGGACAAAATGATTGAGAAACTCAGTGGAAAATCTGCGGAATTCAGACCTCAAAGGGCATGTGGGGAATTCCTCTGGAAGTGGTCAGATTCGAAGTTGCATCAGTGGAAAGAGACTGGTAGAGAGCTCGGTCTACATTCTTTGTGAGAACCTCACGACTTCACGACTGTGTCGCAAGACCACCACTGTGGTTACAGAATCTTCGGACGATGTGAGTCCGATATCCGAGTCCAATGCATCGGAGTAGGAGGCAGTTTTCGAGCGCTTGATATCGGCGCGTAGCATCGGAATACCCCATCCAACGTTGGACTCCGTGGATGTCGGGCAGTGTTTCGGTCCCCATCGGGGTTGCAAGCTCGATGCGCGCGCCGGGTTCTGGTGGGGTGGGCTGGTGCATCGGGAGCGGCTCCTGGCGTCGGCGACCGATGCGGCGCATGGTGGCCCGATCGGGCTGCCAATTTTGCAGTGTGTTGTAGCCATCAGGGATCACGTCCAGGTGTTCCAGCCGACGCCCTGCGCCTCGCAGACTGGGATGGATCATGCGCGGAGGGCCATGAGCTCCCCCATCGTGCGCGTAGCAGCACACAAAGGCCTCCTTTACGTTAAGAAGGCGTGGCTGTGCTTGGTCGTTCCCCTGCTCCGCTATGTTTGTTCCATGTCGATGGCGGCTGGAATTTCGCTTGTGGCTTGGCTGCACGCCTTGTGCGCAGGAAGGCCCAGGGCCTTGTGTGGTGTGTTGGGTGGAGGACAAGACCCTTGCGCTGTCCCGGGTCGGCCCCAACTGCCTGGACATGCAACCACAATGAAAAATTAGATCGCCGGCCATCTCCTTTGACGATCACACATGCACCCGCGTGCATGCACGCACACACACGCGCAGGAAAACCACACGCACCTGAATTGCCCTGCAACGCAGCACAAACGCGCAAAAACATTCGGTGGCCGTGCACACACCATCAGTCCTGGCCTTGCTAGGATGCGCACCTTTAAGCATGGGCTGGCTGTTTATCTTTTGATGTAATACATTGGAATTAAAAAAAAAAGCATGGGCTGGCTGAGTCCACCGCCATTGCCTATCCATCGCCTTTGTCGCTGCTGCTGGATCCGATGCTGGGTCCACCGCCACTGTCACTGCTGGATGAAGGGGCCGGCACAGCTGCCAACGCAGCCCTCCTGAACAGCACCGGCACTACGGCAGGCGGAAGGGCGGGGTTCCGGTAAAGGTGGCGCGTCTGCAGCCACAGCTGTACGTGTGCAAGAAAGTTTGAATCTGGCCTCATCGATGTATTTGTCATTTTCGGGGGCCTGGACACAAGGAGAGTGAGCACCTGCGCCCAAGTCGCTGGCGTGGTGACAGTGCTCCGGCCTCGTCGCTTGCGCAGTGTTGCTGGCTCACTTGAGAGGAGTTAATGTGGCGTTCCGGCACAAAGTCTCCTTTCCAAGCCAGAGCCCGCAAAACAAAAGCAACCCCAGCACACAGAATCCGACCCAAGCTGCCATTTTCCACCTCTCAGGCCGATCGTCCCCGTCCACCGCAAACGGCTGCAGTGCCCATCACCATCCCCCCTGGCCCCCTGCCCGTCTGCTCTGCTGGCTCCACCTGCAATGGCAGCGCCATCTCCATCAGCCCTTCAGCAGCAGCGACGTCCGCGACAGCGGAATCGATGCCGCGAGCCCCACTGCGGGATGCGAACCTGGCTCCTGCCGCCACTGGACTTGATGCTACAGCTACATCAGTTGCAGGAATTGACTAGGCCGTGGGGTACATTTCGAGTAGGTGAATCTCGTTGGGTGGGAATCGATGGATCGCGGGCAGCTAAAGAGGAGGGGGGGGGGGAGAGGCAGCATGGCCTTCGAAGGGCTTGGTGGGTGATTCGATGGGTGTGCGAGTTGCAGCTCAGAGGGGAATCAACCCTGGGAGGAAAAGCACCGTGGGAGAAAAGGCTCGGACGGTGAAACGTGCGGAGTGGGGCTGGCAAAGTTTCTGGGAGGCAGAGCCGCACTGCATTGCTGCCAGTGGTTATGGTTAGAGCAGGGCACCCGGTATGGGAAATGCAGCATCGGAGGGCGTCGGAGACGCATCGGGGGAGACACAGTTCGGAGTCCTACGTCGGATGCCGTCAGGGCTGCATCGGAGGCGCTCCGACGTCGGACTCCGAGAATTCTGTAACCACTGTGCACAATACCCGCAACAAAAAAGCACATTGCATGCTGTGCCTGAGCAATTGAACGCCATCCTAACTCAATCTGTATGCTATCAGTTTTCAACTCTATGTACACCAGCACCTGGGGCATGCTTGCACGGAGAGCGAGGTTTGTGCACCAGCTTGCTCTGAACATATATCACAGCATGTCAGTAACATACTTCATAGGAGTCAGCTAGCCAACTCTGAAGCGTGTATTCAATAGGACAGCCCCTGCCGCCCTGGTCTGCCTATTTGCTACGGATATTCTGCCCGTTTGCAGAAAATGCAACTACCTCCCACTGGACCAACACCATTCAAAAATCTCTCAACAGAACATATGCCGGTGTACAGATGACACAAAACGCACCATCGGTCAAACTCGCTCCACTATCATGGAGCGGGCCCTTCTGTGGCACCTCTGCCGAATAGATCCTCATTCGCTTGTCACCACACTAGCTAACTTCCTTGCCAGATACGCTTCGTGGCTCTTCTGAGGTACATTGTTCCATTCTTCCTCTCTTAGTCGAAGGACAGGCAATCCTGCCGCCTCCACAGCCCTCAAGAACCATTCTGTTGGCCCTGTCAGTCGTCCTCGGTCGTTCGCAAAACAATGGCGAGGAGTGATCAATTCAACTGCAACCTGCTGCCCATCGGTCGTCTCAATGCACGTGACTTTGAATGGCATTGCTTTCGTCACCGAAGTACTTTCAGTGACTTTATGCCCCGTTTTCTCTGCGGCCCTGATCAGTCTCGACATCGCCTGCAATGGCCTTCGCCTGCCTTCTGATTTCTTCCATGCCTCCCAGCATGCAGCTGCCAGACTGGAGGGAATACAATCTGTCACGGATTTGTTGCCACTGAACAACTGGAGATGCACAATGGCCTGGTAAATATGCAGTCGACTCCTCCAGTTCAATGACCTTACTGGTGCAAGCTCCATGTGGGCCATCGCTGCCTCAAATGTTGTCGTGTCCAATGCATCCATAACAGATAGGCTGTAAAGAAACGAAGCCACCTCCTGAGGCTTGTACTCTGGCAAGTTGGACATCAGAAGAGCTTTCATCTCCTCTGCCAAGTCTGCATTGCTGGCTCCTGCCATTGCAAGCGACCAAACAAACCGGGAAACCAGCTTTGGGCTGAGAACATTTACGCTGTCCTTCATTGACGAGGCCACCAAGCCCAAATACGACTCACCAGGGTGCACAGCCAATCTGGCAAGCGACCAGGTGACAGCAGCCACCTCAATACGGCCAAAGGCCTCGAATCTTGCCACCACCTCTTCTGCAAGCGCGACGGGCAGAGAAGGGCAACATCGAAAATCGGCTTCTGCCAGACCCCACAACAGCATGCGGATTTCGTTGGGGCTGAACTCCTGCAGCCTGGCCTTAGCATTTCTGCTGATCGCGCGAAGAAGCATGTGCGGACTCTGAACGTGGAGGCGTCCAAGGCACCAGGCCAACTTCGCAACGTCCTGGTGCTTCAGGGCGCCCACTTTGGAAGGCAGCCACGCTGTAATTGCAGCAAGAAGATCTTCACACTGCCGAAACTCCAACTTCTCCAGGCTCGACACCAGTACACACACCTCTTCGGGGCCCAATTCCTGAAGCACAACTTCCAGGCGCACGCACCAAAGGGCCAAAGCACTTGATATGCCCCGCACTCCTTCCTTTTCCATCACTGCACAGCTTCCGAGCGTGGCAAAGCACCCGATGGCCGCCACCAGCTCCTGAGCAGAAAGGACATCCCTGCGGGCTGTCAACTGCGCCACCGTCAGCGACAATAACTCGCCCTCTTCTTTGACAACCCACTCCCCAATTCCTGCTGCATCGGCAACGTCGCTCAACCCAGTCAAAATGGCCAGCAACACCTCGGGCCTGCAATCTTCCAGTATCTGTTTTCCAGCCCGAACTGTGAAACTGCGAACAGCGGCCTTCGCCACAGCCTCATCTCCGTTGCATTCCAGGACGCGCCTCAGATTGTCTGCCGCAGCCTCCGTCACCTCCCTGATGGCCAGGTCCTGATCACACCTGAATATCTGATGAAAGCTCCCGTTCCCTGAGGGATCAAGGTTCCAGCCGTTCTGTGGGTCGGAAGGTGGTCTTGCTCTCTCATTGCGCCCCCCATTGCCCATCAGCGATGGCCGAGGCCGCAGGAGTGTCTCGCTGGACGACGCATTCTGCGCAGTACTCCGCGCTTGCATTGTGCGGTCGGTGACAGGGCACCGAACTGTGCGCAGCCATTGGCCCCTTGGGTGCAGCGCCGGCACAGCGGAATCGGTCCCGCCACAAGAGAATCGACCGGGCTGCATTGGAACTGCTGCAGAAAGGTCGGCCGGTCTTCAAGAGTTGCGATCTTTCAAACGACAAATTCGAGGTCTGCCCCCGTCACATCGCAAGCAAGCGCGGAACGGGATACAGCCTCCACCTCTGCACGCAGTTCGCGCATGGGCAGGATCCGTCCTCCTCGTTGCAAACTTGCAGCGGGAGGCCGCTGCAAGGCAGACGAACCTCCTCCCAGTTGCCAGGGGAGATCCAACACGTGACGCAGAGATTAGCTGTCAACCTGCTGATCCTAACAGGAGCGCCAAAAATGTGTAGGAACAGAAAGCCGAACTCATAATTGTGGATCAATGGAGAAGTGTTCGCGCAGCTGCATAATTTCTGCCTTACCGGTCTCCTGAGCCCACCCCGTCATGTACCCCCATGACAATAATTACAAACAACCGTCAATCGTCACATTCCCGAGGTTCCCGTCCATTAAACTTGCCCATTCGCTTCGCTAGTACTTCAATGCCACTTCAGTGAGTGACTCCCCATGAGTCAGCTCCCTTTCCCGTACTTCACTCCCTCACCTCCCTCACCATCCCACAACTAACCCGAACTCCACTATCCAGGGCGGGAGGGCTGGGTGCGAAACAAGATAAGGAGGGGGACCGAGGGGCTGCCTAAATAGCCGCCCTCCGCCGCCCCGCCAAAGCCCGCCAAACTCGAGAGCGCCCTCGCAGGCGGCACCTCGGAATACCGTACTTTGACTGACCTACGGTACTAGGGGTGGCCAGAAATCCCAAGGGACGGGGTTGAGTAAACCCCAGGTTCAAACTGCACCGTTTGAATCGCCGGTGCAGCCCACCCAACGTCGCCCTTGGTAGAAACCCATTAACAGGGCACAGGGCACAACGGAGCATCAGGGCGCGGGGACGCGCAGTGGTGACTGGACAACCAGCTTGTACCTGGTTTTTGTGTTCCGGTTTCTGGACTCACTGACGGAGGAGCCAAAGGAGACGCGCGGCAGTGAGCACCATCTTTTTTGTTGCCTCACGGCAACACGGTCTGCACTCGGGCACGTCGGAGACGCGTGTAACTCTACAGCGCTTTGGAGCGCTGTGGCTGCCCAACAATTTGTCGGTGTTCCCATCGATGGCCGATCTGCAACAACTGCTGGAACGCCTAGAACGAACCGAGAGGATCCTTGCTGCTGCGAACCTGCAACCGGAGGCCCCCGCGAATCTTACGCCGGAGCAGCAAGCCGCGGCTGACCATCTGCTGCGCCTGTGCCAGGAATTCTGTACGGAGGGTCCTCCAGCGAGCCTCAACGCCCTCCGCGTCTCGAGACACGAGAACATCCCGCGCTTGGATCTCAATCCTGTGCCCGGTCCTGCCAGCCAACGCCGCTGGGGCGAGGCTTTCGACGTCGCTGACACTGCGCAGGGACAAAAGGTTCGTTAGGCTCTTGGTGGCGGCAGCGGATTCTACCTGGAATATCGCACTTGGGCCCCTGTCGTCTCCGCGCTGGTCGACCTCACTGCGCACCTCTTGAAGATCACCTCGCATCCAGCCCTTTCAGGAGACGCCCGCCAGCTCTTCGGCCCCATCGCCACTGGCCTTGAGCACATCACCCGTCAAAGCGTGGGCCATCTGGACGTGCACCGTCTGCACGCCAACTTCGCGGGCACAGACGCGGCCGGTGTGTGGAAGGTCGCCCAACTCAGCCATCGGCTGGACGCTTTGGACACGCACTTCACGTCCTCCACGGTGCGCGACGCGGTCGATCAATACCGCAAGAGCTTGAGCCAAGCAATCGTCAAGGAACAAACCAAGGCGGACGCCCGTCGTGCCGCGGATAGCGGTTCTTCCCGTGGCCGGGGCCGTTCTTTCGCCAGCAGAGGCAGGGGTCGTCGCGGGCGCGGCGGTGGATTTGGTGGCCGCGATACTTTCTCAGGAGCTGGACACCTCGGATCGGGAGCCGGCCCCGCGCGTGGCGCGGGCGGCGATTTTTGAATTCGTGCTCCATAACTTTGGCGGGAAGTCGCTGATCGACAGCAGCGCCTTGACTACGTTTCCCGCCTGACCTTCACCGTGACTGCACCACGCTGGGCCCGATGGGCGGGTTCGAGTTTGGCGGCGCGTGTTCACGCTCCGATGCTACCCGCCGGGCCAAGGGCCCTTCCTTGCCGCCCATCACAATCTTACCACGCATCATGCGTGACGCATGGCACCAACGCCAACTGACCAAGGAGCGGGACCACTACCACCGCCTCAAGGTGAACCCCCAGGACTTCCTATACAAACGGGTCCAAGCCAGCTTGCCTGCCTGGCGTCGGATCGGGGCCAGCCGGACGATTCTTTCGTGGCTGTCGGGCGGGGTACGCATCAGATGGAAGGATGGCACTCCCCCCCCCCCCGTCCCACGCGTCAGCTTACCCGCTGGACCCAGCGCAACGCAGTGCATGGGAGGAGCTGCGCGACACTTACCTGAAGACGGGTGCCATCAGGCCTGCTCGCCACCGTCGCCATGTCTCCCCCGCGTTTCTTCGCCCGAAGCCGAACGGGAAATGGAGGTTGATCGTGGACCTGCGACAGATCAACAGCCATTGTGTCCCTCAGTCAGTGACCTACGAGACCCTGCACACACTACGGGACTCCCTCAAGCGGGACGACTGGATGGTGTCCTTCGACATACAGGATGCCTACCACCACATACCGATCCATCCCCAGGATCGGCAGTACTTCACCTTTCAGATCGATGGGGAATTGTGGGAATGCGTGACTTTACCATTCGGTTGGCAAGGAGCCCCGATGGTGTTTACCAAGGTTATGCGGACGATCATAGCCTTCCTTCGCTCTCCCCGCCAAGTGGCTCCCAAGTTACCCCCTTCCTGGGCCAAGTCTGCAATTTCGACGTATTGGATCCAAAATTGGGGACCCCTACTGCTGCCCTACTTGGACGACATTCTGGGCGCCGCAAGCGATCAAGCGCGACTGCGCAGCTGGACGAGTGTGACACGCGCAGTTTTGAATGACCTGGGGATAACGGTGAACGAGGAGAAGTCCTCCTGGATCCCCACGCAGGCCAAAGTCCACTTGGGCCTGATCGTCGACACGGCCAGGGGCTTATTTGTAGTCCCCCCAGACAAGGTTGCTCGACTTCGCAGCCAAGCAATGGCCTTGACGACTGCAGCGAATCGCAACAAGGGCCGGGTACAAGCGAGGAAAATCGCCTCTTTCTGCGGCCTGGCGCAATCGGTCGGCCTGGCCATTCGGCCGGCACGATTCTTTCTCCAGGCGCTTTACGGGTGTTTGAAAACCAAGCGTACCTGGCGCAGTTGGGTGAAGCTCGACGCCCAGGTGCTGCAGGACCTCCACTGGTGGTTCCTACTCCGCGATCGCTGGAACGGGAGGGCGATGTGGAGACCACCGGGTGCACTTCAATTGGCCACCGACTCAAGCGATTTCGCTTGGGGGGCAGAGCTGAGATGCGAGCCCTCAGCACCTCTCTCCTCGAAGCCCCAGGTGCTCCTCGCACGCGGTTTTTGGCCTGCAACGACCCAACGCAAACACATCAATCTCAAGGAGCTTATGGCAGTCCGCAAAGCACTCGAGTCTTTCGTGCACAAGATCAGTGGGCACCACGTGAGCCTCCTAGTGGACTCGGCGGTCACAGCCCAGGTCATTCGGAAACTGACGACGACTTAGGGCCCGCTGATGGAGGAGCTGCGTCGCCTCCAATGGCTCCTCGAGTGCCGGGACGTGGTCCTCTGGCCCACCTGGATCCCCAGCGCGAGCAACGCGGTGCCCGACGCCCTCTCGCGCATGCACGACCCCACGGATTGGCGCCTCCACCCCCGGCTCTTCCGAATCTTGGACCGCAGGTGGGGCCCCCATACAATGGACCGCTTCGCAACGCTCGAGAATCGGCAGGTGGAGCGTTTCAATTCTGCCCTGTGGTCGCCGAATACGGAGGGCATAGACGAGCTGGCCCAACCCCTTGCGCACTGGAGCGCAGAGAACAATTGGGCAAACCCACCCTGGACGCTCCTTCCTCGCCTCACCAATTTCCTCGCCGAACGCCCCCAAGTTCAATGCACGGTGGTGGCCCCTTACTGGCCGAGCGCCCGGTGGTTCCCCCGGTTGCAACGGATGGCGACAGACATCGTGATTTTCCCCCCAGCGCCAGACACCTTCCTACCAGGTCGCCTGGGCGGCCAGACCCCAGTGGGGGCCCCCCGCTGGAGGGTGGGCGCTTTCCGGATCGGCACACCTGGGGGCCCCAATTCGACTGGCCGGAGCTAACGGCCTCGCAGACACATTCAGTCATCACCGCTCTGCAAGATTCTCTATGGCCATCCTCGCAGTCAGGAGTGGCCCGCAAGTTTGCTAAATTTGCCGCTTTCTGCACCCCCCGCGGCTGGACGGCCCTCCCGACCTCGCGCGCGGTGGTCTACGCTTATCTCGTCTATCTGGAGGCGGAGGGATCGATCCGCCCTACCTCCGCCCCCCAGTACCTTGCCGCCATCGGCACTATTCATCGTCAGAGAGGCTTCGATTTCTGCGCCTCCGATTGGCTAACCAAGGCCTTGATCCGCGCCTGGAAAAACCGAGCCCCCGAGACCCAGTACACCACGCCAGTCCGAGCTTTTCCAGCGGATGCAATTGAGGAACTACTCAGCTACGCCGGCACCCCCCAGCCCCCACCCAAGATCCGAGCGATTCTGGTCGTAATTCTCGACTTCATCTTCTTCTCACGTGCAGACTCAGCCTACTCTGCGCGCGACTGCAACTTCCTCGTGCTGGACACCTCGCTGGAATTCGTGGAGCGCCGAAGGAAAGGCCAGCAAGTGTCTCACCTCGAATTCCGCCGCCGCCAATTCGATGCACGGGGCTGCCTACCCCTGCTGCGTCTGGTTTCCGACTGGCGCCACGCACGGGACGCGGCCTGGGCGGCGGCAGGACACCCTCGCCGGTCCCAGGAGTCTTCTTTCTGGGCGCTGCTCGTGGACGGCCATGCCCCCACTTCGACGTCGGTGGAGCGCTGGTACCGGCAGGCTGCATCTATCATTTGTGCCATCGATGTGGCGGACTTGACTCATCACTCCTTGCGGAAAGGTGGCGCCACATTAGCTTTCTCTCTGGGCGTCGGCATTTGGCACATCGCTGATTGGGGTGGCTGGAGTCTGAAGTCCGACGCAATTCAGCGCTACATCGCCATGGCGCACCGTGCCACTTCCTCAGATTTCAAGTTCTTCGGCTGGATGCGTGCTGGCACCGAGCGCCTGCAATCCTCCCTCGGGCATTTGTTTGAGTAAGCGCAAGATCGTTTTGATTTGGAAGGCAAAACTGTCATGCCCGAGTTCCGGATTTCTCTCTTTGTATATTAGTGTATTTGTACCAATGGGATTTGATTGGGAATTCCGGTGTGAGTGCGGCTGATTGCCCCAAAGGGCGGGAGCAGCCGGCCGTTTCACGTAAGCAGCGTTAGCGTAGTTAAAGCGTTTACGTCTAGGACGGCGCAGGGTGGGAAGCGCCAGATTGGGATGAACGGGAGACGGCGCTTCTCTTAAGATACTAGGGGACAATTTGTACTCGGCAACGGAGCATCAGGGCGCGGGGACGCGCAGTGGTGACTGGACAGCCAGCTTGTACCTGGTTTTTGTGTTCCGGTTTCTGGACTCACTGACGGAGGAGCCAAAGGAGACGCGCAGCAGTGAGCACCATCTTTTTTGTTGCCGGACTTCCCCCCCCACCCCGGCCCAGTTCTGCAGAAGGTTTTTGAACAATGGATCGTTTTCTTTGCCTGAACATTAGGGACACGCAGACCGAAAAGGCGAAACTGTCATGCCCGAGTTCCGGATTTCTCTCTTTGTATATTAGTGTATTTGTACCAATGGGATTTGATTGGGAATTCCGGTGTGAGTGCGGCTGATTGCCCCAAAGGGCGGGAGCAGCCGGCCGTTTCACGTAAACTTTATTTCTGCCTTACCGGTCTCCTGAGCCCACCCCGTCATGTACCCCCATGACAATAATTATAAACAACCGTCAGTCGTCACATTCCCGAGGTTCCCGTCCATTAAACTTGCCCAGTCACTCTAGGGAACGCGAGGCCCCTCCGGGGCAGAAGATGTGCCCAAACTGCTCATGCAGGTCGCGGGCGGTGATGGTCATCCAACCAAACAGCCGAAAATCCCACTCAGTGGGTAAACGGAAAATATCTATGTAGGACCACAAGGCGTCTGACTTCCACCCACCCCAATCCCGGATGCGCCGCTCCGTGACCTCCAAGGCGAAGCAGCTTGACGCGCCCCCACCGCGCAGGCCATGATGCGAAACAAGATAAGGAGGGGGACCGAGGGGCTGCCTAAATAGCCGCCCTCCGCCGCCCCGCCAAAGCCCGCCAAACTCGAGGGCGCCCTCGCGGGCGGCACCTCGGAATACCGTACTTTGACTGGCCCACGGTACTAGGGGTGGCCAGAAATCCCAAGGGACGGGGTTGAGTAAACCCCAGGTTCAAACTACACCGTTTGAATCGCCGGTGCAGCCCACCCAACGTTGCCCTTGGTAGAAACCCATTAACACGATAGTTAACTTCATGACCACC